CCAGGCTGGCCTTGAACTCACAGAGTTCTGCCTGCCTCTGCCTCCAGAGCGCTGGGATTAAAGGTGTATGTCTTCGTTGTCTGGCTGAGTTAAGATTTTATAAAGGAATCTGCTTTAAATAAGGTACATCTATATTCCAAGGTCTGTATTTGGCCCTCTTAACTCATTTGATGAAGTGTTTCTGTTGTGTGCAAAGTAGAGGAGCTGGGGATTCTTGGAGGGAAATGGCAGGGGCCCTGGGAAGATATGGGCTGTGGGAGAGCATGTACTTGGTTCTTCTAATGGCTTCTTAGATAGAAGTATAGTAGGTCAGTTTCACCTTTCACATTGCTGCCATTAGGGTGTGCAGTGTGTACACCAGTTCCCAGAAGCACCCCAGAAGGCTGCGGGCTCTCACACACTTACTAATCAGAACGGCTGTCAATTTGCCACAAGGGATTTTCAAGCACACAAATTCCTGGCCCTTCCCAGATGATTCTGGTAACCACCCAGTATCTTTTAATACACATTATGACATTAGTGGAAATCAAGTTCATAACTCAAATTACAGCTGGAGGTAGCTGGATATTTCTGTCAAAAATCTTTGGAATGGGCTTGTGGATGAGGGAAGGCTAGTTAAAGAAAAGATAGAGACATCAGATCGTATTAGGAGGGCAGTGTCAGTTAATACTGAATGCTCACCTCAGTTTAGTGATACACCATCTTAAGTAACCAACCAAAGGTGAGGACAATGACAGAAGACTTCTATTATCATGCAGAAAGAACAGATAGCAATTACTTTCCCAATCCTAAAAATACTCTGTAGCTGCAGATACTATTTGGGCCCGACACTGGTAGGTGACTTTACTTCTGTGAAGAGCAGACTAATTGGTCACTCCTGATAAGTGAGATGTGAGGGCAGTTGGTACCAACAGGCAGAGCTGTGAACCTTACCAGAGTAAAGTAAAGATAAGTGCCTTAGCCCTTCTATAGATCTAATCAGATAGAGAGTGAAAGACACCTGCCCCCAGGATCTCGGCCCAGGACCATGGCGACCCCAATCACTAGGCGGAGGAGAAAACTTGATAAAACAGCACGAGCCTTTAATGCAGTTATTTAACGAGCTAACCCCATGTTAGCTTGGGCTTTTCATCCATCCACCATGGCGGATGGCTAGGGAAAGACGCTGAGAAGCCACGGTATAGAGATCTTATAGGGCAGCGTAAGGGGAGTGTCTAGAAGTACGCACAGGCTCAGGATTGGTGTGCCTCCAGGCTTGGAGGACTTGCCCTGTGTTGATTGGTCAACTGGTTGTTATGGCCCATAGGCCCTCCCAGGGTGATTACTATGTTCTGTACGTCATTGCTGTGCACTTGTCCGTAAAGCACACCCAGAGCCATAAAGTATAGCACCACCAGCTAACTTCTGATTGGTTCCTTGCCACGAGGCAGGCATCTGACCTCCTAGTGACCAAGGCAAGGTCAGGCAAACAAGTGTTAGTCTGTCATGGCTGCCAAAATGAGGAGCTGGTCCCTTCATTAGCAAAGTCTATGTTTTTGGATCCTGTTACTCCAGGGAATCGGCCCCTCCCATCTGTGTCTTGGCAGAGAGTTGAAAGGCAAGCAGAGGAGAGGGAGAGCATTATGAGGGATGGGGGTGGTTCAGGTGTGTCCTGTTTGAAAGCAGCCAAAGAGACATGGTCTTGGATAGGTTAAGGTTTCATATTTGACTATGGTCTAGATAGGGAGATTGTCAGTTGCTGGTTACAGTCACTGTTAGCTTTCTAGTGGTTGTAACCTGGCTCTCTGTTGGTGTAGTTTCTAGCAGGTGGGCTTCCTGGGCATTGTCATGAGGCAGAGGAGCTCCTTTTCCGAGCTGGTTGCTGCAGCAGTAGGTTACAGACTTGGAAACTCATGTGCTGTGGCCAGTGTCCATCTGTGTGCTCAGCACTTCCTGGAAGGTAGAGCTTTGGTTCTGTTGCTCATTCACAGAGGACAAAACTGCTCATCATCTGTGGTTCCTCATAATCCCCATACAAGTTTATTAGATGGACTTACCAGGACATGGGGATCCACAGGGTTTTCCTGGCCCACAGTCTCAACTTTTGCTCTGTTGCTCTAAAGTTTTTTCTACAGTGTAACCAGCCCTGGAAGCAAAGTTTGTGTCCAAAGTTAGGTTTGAAGGTTTAGCAGAAATCTCTGGGAGAATTTTAAGATTAGTGATTTCTGCCAGGTGTGGTGGCACACATCTTTAGTCCCAGCACTGGGGAGGAAGAGGCAGGAGGATCTTTTTGAGTTTGAGGCCAGCCTGATCTACATAGTGAATACCAGGCCAGCCAGGGCTACATAATGAGACCCTGTCTGATACAAAAAAAACAATGAGAAAAGATTGGTGGGTCCTACTTTAAGCCCTTCTACTATTCTACATGTCATCTCCATATCCATGTAAAGTAAGATCAGGGTTTTACAAGCAGAATTTTAGAACATAGAGATTGATTCCTTCCTTCCTTCCTTCCTTCCTTCCTTCCTTCCTTCCTTTCTTTTTTTCTCTCTCTCTCTTTCTTTCGGTTGACTTCTAAGATGGTCCCTTCCAATGAGGATGCTGCTCGGTGCAGAGTGCATGCCGGGCACATGTGAGGCCCTGGGTTCCATCCCCAGTAGTTTGTTTCCTTTTTAGACATCAAGAATATACATAAGCTTCAGGGATTTTAAAATTATATTGAAAAAAATTTTTGAGATTATAATTATATCACTCCTTCCAGGGATGTTTTTAATGAAAGGTTTGATAATCTGTTTTGCTAATAATTTAGCTGATAGCCAGACACAATAATTAATTTCTAAATCAAAAGCCTTTATGAGGAATATCCAAACTAAAAATGAAATATTTATGGCTTACTTATTGGCCATAAAAATGTTGACAAGATGGCTCAGCAGGTAAAGAACCTGTCACACAACCTTGATTCCCCAGAGCCCAGGTAAAAAGCTGGGTGGGTATAAAACTAAGTAATACCAGTATAGGGAGGCAACGTTAGGGAGTCCTCAGAGCAAGCTGCATAGTCAGATTGCCAGAACAGTGAGCTCTGGGTTCAGTGGGAGACACTGTTCACTATTTAAGGTGGAGAGATGCCTGTGCCTGTCTTTATTAGCCCCACATTGCAGGGCCATATGTTGCGGACTGATGTCTTTGGGGCTGTGATAGGAATCAGCCGAACAGCCCTGGTCTGCTCCTGAGTTGGGGAGTGTGGATGAGGGAAGGCTAGCTATTTGACATTAAAGAAAAGACAAGAGACATAAGATTATATCAGGAGGGCAGTCAGTTAATACTGAAAGTGCCCAGTTTATTCAGGCATCATCTTAAGTAACCATACAAAGGTGGGGGCAAGAGCAGAAGACATCTATTATCATGTATACAGTAGATAGCAATTTCTTCCCTTAATCCTAAAGACACTTAGTAGCTGATTGTACTCAGCCTTCAGACACTCCATACCAGTATCACTTAGCCTTCAGGGTGGGAATAAAACTTGCCTGGGAGTGCTGGTGGCACACGCCTTTAATCCCAGTACTTGGAAGGCAGAGGCAGGTGGATCTCTGGGAGTTCGAGACCAGCCTAGTCTCTACAAGAGCTAGTTCCAGGACAGCCCCCAAAGCCACAGAGAAACCCTGTCTCAAAAAAACAAAAACAAAAAATAAAATAAAATCTTGCCTGGGCCTAGGCCTATTGTTATTTAGACAGGAGACCTTCACCAGCAGGCCAGGACATCCTGCAGCCATTAGCTGACATCTTAAAGACAGTGGCTCTCTGAACTTGTGTCAGGATGGAATAGATTTCCAATGTACAGGCCCGAGAGAGAGAAACCCTGCCTCATTATATAAGGTAGAGAGACTCTGTCTCAATATATATGGTGGAGAGAGACCCTGCCTAAATATGTAAGTGGAGAGTAATCAGGGAAGATGCCTGACACCAGCCTCAAGCCTCCACAACTATGCACCACATGTATGTGCACCCTCCCAGTGTGTCCACACACGCACACACACACACACACACACACACACACACACACACACACACGTGTAGACCACACACATACCTATGTAAATTAAGAAGTTAGTCTCCTCTTTTGAGGAGCACAAAGCAATGACTTTTCTGGAGAAAGTATTTCCTTACAACTGGCTTGTTTCTTAACATCCAATCACCATAAGCAAAAAGGACCCAAATAGCTTCCTGGACCTGTAGTTCTGACACTGTGAATCATAAAGGGTGGCCTTCGGGAATGCTGAGCCTCTACAGGATGGAGGTCTCTATCTCTCAGTGTGGCCCTTGTGTCCTTGAGCTAACCTGTCAAATATCTCCCTGTGCAGGTCTGTGGTCAGGGATCATCATCTGCTCGTTCTGTCAGGTTGCATGTTTTCTGGTTTTTATTGCTCGGCTCAATTGGAAACTCGCCTGTCAACAGGTAACTGTCCTGATTGCTGCCCCAGTCTTTCCACAGGTGCCAGGCCAGACCGGATGTGGCATGCATTCTTTCATTTTGGGAGGTTTTTTTCTTTATGCTACTTTTGTACTTTTTTGTTATTATTGGTTTTGTTTTGTTATATTAGGATTTTGAGTACAGGACTCCATGACCCTGTTGATTCCCTTTGTTCAGTGAATAGAAAAACAGGATTCCATTGCAGGTCTCTTGCCCTGAAAAGCCAATTCCAGAAGAATTGGAACTGGACTTTTTCCAAGTTCATCCTAGTACTGTGTGTGTGTGTGTGTGTGTGTGTGTGTATGTAAGACACTGTATGCGTCTTTCTTTTCACCTTCACAGGTCAATGTGAGGTCTGGAAATAGGATGTAGAAAAGGCAGCTGAAGTAAGAAGCTGAAGAAGGGCGAATTCTTAGCTACTTTGGTCAATCTCCCCTTCAGATTAGCCTACCCCCCTCGTTTTGGAAGATAATTCCATAGCCATCCAGTAAAGCTTTATTTCACATGTCAGTTCAGGGACTTGGCTTCTCCTAAACCAGGTAGCCATGTTTAACAATGCTACCTGCTGACCCCTGCCCTTAATTTTGAGTTTCACTGACTTTTCTAGGCTCAAGTACATGCCAATTTGAAGGTGAATGTGGCCCTGAATGGGAATTCTGCTGTGTCTCAGGAGCCAGCTCACTCAGGTATGCTGCAACTCTCAGCTCTGGCGCAGACCTGGCAATACAGGACTGGAGGGGCATTTGTGGGTTAGCTGCTGTGCTCTCTTATTGCAGTGGAGCACTAAAGTTTCAGAAACTGACTTAAGCTTGTTCACTTTGATTCCACACATTAACTCACTGTTATGAATAGTTCAAACTTCTTAGGCCTTCTGCTAATACTTATAAGGGAGGTAAATGTGGCTTCCTTCTATCTTCCTGCAACCTGTGCCTGATACAATGAAGTTAGACAGGAGAAAACAGCATTTAGCTATGTCTGTAGGTGTGGGAGTCCACACACCATGAGCCACACATCCTACACACAGAGCTGTTGGAGCAAAGCCATCCCTGACCCCCAGGCTAGCTCACTTCCCAGGTTTCCAGCTTCCTTGTGATCTTGCTCTGGGGACTTTTTTTTGTATCATTAGTTTTCTACCACCTTAAAGATGCTCTTTTTAATTCATTTAATCATGATTTAACAATTATCTTGAGAAGGAGGGCTAGTTTGTAAAATTTGGGAAATGATACTTACCCTGTCTTGTTACTGTGAGGATTGCATTGTTTGAAACTGGCAGACATAGCCTAAGTATCTTGTAGATGTGACCTGGTATTGTCTAATTTCAAAAGTTTTGTTTGCTTTTGTTTCTTTGAGACAGGATCTGTGTAGTTCAGGCTAGCCTTGAATTGGCATTTAGGTGAGGATGACCCTCCTGCTTCCCAAATTGGCATTACATGCCTGGTGAAGCCTGGTGTATTATAATGTTCCAAATTATTTGTCGTGACTCTGAGGCCATTGTAACAATGTTAGCACAAGTTGAAAATCCCTAATTTGAAACATTCTGTTCCCAAGCCTTTCGGATAAGGTGAACTTACATACCCTCTTTCTTTTTAAGAAAGCTGATGCCAATCTTCTCCTTAGGCTGCCTGGTAATCTGCCTTTATTTTTCTCTTGGAAAGTTTTTAACTTAGTTTTTAATGTATTTTCCAGTTAGTATTCTTATTCCACAAGGCTGTAAGACTTGAGTCTTCATGTGAGTCGTTATCTTGCTTGGTTCTAGGTGGGTCCTTGGAGGTGAAGAGTCCCGTATTTAGTTCTGTGAATCTCTTGAGTTATGCCCCTGCTTATCTGTCCTTCATTTGTCTTGTTTTCAGTCTGAAATGCCTACTAGATACATGTCAGCCCCTTGAAAAGCCTGACCCTAGGAAGAACTCTGTCTTCTCACTCTGGCTGACCAGAGCAGTTTGTAGAGTGACTAGAAGTGCTCAGAGATAATGGACCAAATGCAGGGCTGTTACAAGCATTGTTAAGTCAGAGCCTGGACCCTGGCAGCCCTACCCCAGGTTCAGCCCCTGACGTCTTCAAGGGGCCAACTAAACAGACAAGTAATGTTGGGAGGCAGAGAGGGGATTTATTCATTGTGGCTGCACTGGAGGAGGAACAAATAAAAGGGTCCAGTGACTCCTCTCCACTTCCCCTTCAGGGTCCTGACACGAGGTTTAGATATAAGCAGATGGCACAAAGGATGCATAGGTGGTCAACACGTAGTCCTGCTCCTCAGCAACCCATCACTGATAGTCTTTCCCCCAAGATCATCTGAGAAGTTGTCAGGACTGTGAAATCTCTTTGCTCCTCTCTGGCTGGCACCAGACATCTGCCATCTCCTAGCATGAGATTTCTGGGGAAATGACAATGTATTGGGAACCATGTTGTACTAGTCTGATGGCAGAAGTCGGGGGCACGAGTATCTCTAAAAGATTTTCACTCCTACTTTGGATGGTTCCGGAGCTGTTTTTTGATGAAGTATAAAGCCAATAAGTACAACCAGGGATAAGATCAAAGAGTGTCCTGGAAATCACTCCCTCAGCAGTACTGGGGATGGGATTTGGTTTTCTATCTGTCATCATAAACAGAAACCAGGAATTGAATCTTTAAATTGTGCTCTATTGAGCACACTGGAAGATCTGGGAAGCCTGAGGGAGACCTGCCTATCTCCTCCTTCTCTTACTAGCACATTTGCAGGCACCAGGGAACAGAGGTGACTTGAGGTTTCTATTGCTGTGAAGAGACACCATGACCATAATAACTCTTATAAAGGAAAACATCTAGTTGGGGGCTGGCTTGTAGTTCAGATATTTAGTCCAATATTGTCATAGCAGGGAGCATGGCAGAGTGCAGATAGACATGGTGCTGATTGAGAGTTCTGCATCTGGATCCTCAGGCAGCAGGAAGGAAGGGTGAGCTACTGGGCCTGGGTTGAGCTTCTGAAACCTCAAAGTCGTCGTCCCCCCCCCCCCCCCGTGACACACTTCCTCGAACAAAGGCCTGATGCTGCCACTCCCTACGGACTCTGGGGACCATTTTCAGTCAAACCACCACATTCCACTCCCTGGCCCCCACAGGCTTGTAGCAGTATCATAATGCAGAAATGCATTCTGTCCAACTTCAAAAGTCCCCATAGTCTATATTAGTCTCAGCCATGCTTAGAAGTCCAAAGTCTCTTCTGAGACTCACAGTAACCTCTTAACTGTAATCTCCTCCAAGACCAAGATTAAAAAAAAGCAGATCACACACTTCCAACATACAATGACACAGGATATATGTTACTGTTCCAAAAGGGAGTAAAGGGAGCATAGTGAGGAAATGCTCAAGTCACAAGAGGCAAAAAATAATTTCAGAGGTGAGTCTTGTCCCCATGGCCTCATGTTTGGCCTTGTCTCTGAGATTCCATAGCAGGAGAGGGCTGGCCAAGGTTACTGAAGCTTGCATTTCTCTTGAGCCAATTTGGATGACATTCAGATTGAAAGTTAACTCCAAACAAACAAACCATTAGCAGTGCATACTTGCAAACTGCTTACAGTGTGCACTCCTTCCTATAGAGCAGGGTGCAAATGTGCTCTTGTAAATAAATAGTAAAGTGCTCCTATTTCTTATTACAAATGAAACACAAATGTGTCCCTATCTGTACCCTATGACTATCTCCTGGAGCAAAGGCAGTAAAAAGATTATATTGGAGTCACTTATGCCTATTCCTATGGGAGAGACTTAGCACAGGTCAGGGCACACTTCTGAGCAAGCACAAATCATGCCTTCCGAGTACAAAATGGCAGACAGTGTTTTTTTTTTTTTTTTTTTTTTTAAGCTGCAGCAGCTGATATAAAGAAAGGAACAACGGATGAACAACCCACATGGAGTTTATTTACCTGAAGAGGGGGGAGATGGAGCTGGGTTGTCAGCCAACCCAAGAGGAGCCAAAGAGAGAGAAAGTTGGAAGGCTGGACCTTTTAAGGGAAGGCTGCACATGCGCACTGGGGTTTTGCACATGCGCAGAGTCCTCACGCAGGCCGTAATGCATGGCTGGTGACGTGGAGATGGCTTAGCAAGTTTTCCTGTGCGTGCCCCGCCTGTGTTGGGGGGGGCGGGGTCATCCAGGTGTATGTTCTTACAGACAGGAACTTCTGAACAGTGAGTGTCAGTATACTGAGGCTGTAGCAGGCAAAGCTCGTGGCAAATCAGCCAGAAAAGTGGATCAGGGTGGCTTGGCAATTTATGGCTTCATTATGGTTTTCTCTGCAGGGCCTTATCTGAAACAAACAATAATAATCTGAAGGGACATTAATAGTCATTTAAAGGGCTAGCAGCAGGTGCATGGACCTAAGATCTCTTACCTAAAAATTAACAATGGTTCTTTTATTTATTTATCATATCAAAAATGTTCCTGGAATCAACCCTCTCCTATCAATAATCATGAATAACAATCATCATTTGTACATATGAAAATAAAAAGCCTTTCACACTGCTCACTAATGTCCCTTTCCCCCACAGTGGGTCCTGAAAGCCAAGGAGAAATTATGATGATGAATCTGGAGAAAAAGGATGAGACTCAGTTGGACCAGCAGACGAACCAGCAACACGTTTTGCCTGTCCACCCGAAGGACAGCAATGAACTGTCTAGGAAACAGTTGACCCTTCGGCGAGGGCTCCTGCTCCTGGGAGGAGTTTTTTTCTTGGTGGGGGGGATTTTAGTGAGAATATATGTCAGAATTGAGTGACGTGGAAGAGTCAGAGATCAAGCCACATGGGTGCTCCTCAGTTCATGAGATTAACACCTAACCAATCTATCACATATTGAAATATTGCATCAGGACTGGGGGTATTGCTGTGGGAAAGACATGCTTAGTGTGTTCAGGGCCCTCTAACAAGCAAGCTCTGTCTCTTTCTCTCTATCTTTCTCTCTCTAACACACACACACACACACACAGAGAGAGAGAGAGAGACAGAGACAGAGAATCACAGATGCACAACACAGAGAGACAGAGACAGAGTGATGGAGAATCTCTCTCTCATACACGCAGACACAGAGAGGCATGCATTATGAGTGGACAATGCATGCAATACACTTAACCTACCAAAAACCAGTGTTTGAGATACTGTACTAACCCGAAGGTTGATTTTTTTCACCCCTGTGGTTGCAAGGCCACCTGGGGGCTATAGATCACTGCCACTGTCCCATATCTCCCAAGGATGGTGTCAACACATTGGGAACCCAGGAAAAGTTCCCAGTTCAAAATGGTCTCTACTAAGTACATGTCACTTTTGACCAGTGTAGAGCCAGGCCCTTGGAAAGTGAATTACTGTTAAGTCTGGGACCACATGCAGCTTTGAACTTACCGACAATTCATAGGCTTGGAAGTGGCCAGTCATTTTAGCTCACAGACTTCAACTGTACTCATGGATTTTGTGAACTGAGAATTCAAATTTTTTTCTAATAAAGAGTAAAGTAAACACCATATTGTGGTCTAAGACAATATGGGGAAGATGATGGTGGAATATTAATTCATCCACCACGGTCAAACATGGACTGCTGTGTACCGACTGAATTCAGGGGTGGACTTGCCATTTCTTTTGCCAATTGTTTTCTAAGAGAGAAACCTATAGCTGGCCTGCTTCTGTATTCTTACTGTGCGACTTCTATTAAATACATTTTATGTCTCTGAGTTATTATTCTGTGAACAAACATCATTTATTAATCATCAGAGAGAGCTCGGATCTCCTGAGGGGTTACAGGCAGGGGAGGTCTCTGGGGTTGTAAAGTGGGGACAATTCCTGATGGTGGCCAGAGGACAAAGCTTTAACAAAGGCATTAAGACGAAACCCAACTTTTTCAGCCTCTAAAGGGTTAAGTACACACGAGACTGCAGCAATTAGGAAATTTAACTACCGTGAGTAAAACCGGTTCAATTTATTTCGTTTTTCTTTTGGTGGTTGGGTCTGGAACTCAGTTTCAGCAACAGGCAAACACTCCTCACTTAGCTACACCCACAACCCTCCGTCGGTTGGGTGTGGCTGGGACCACTTAAAGCATCCCTCACATCTTCATTCTTGCTGGGTAAATAAGATGACATTTTTCCAGCCACC